GAGTAAGTAGTGTAGTGTGTGTGTGTGTGTGTGTGTGTGTGTGTGTGTGTGTGTGTGTGTGTGTGTGTGTGTGTGTGTGCGTGAGAAAGACAGAGAGAGAGAGACTCCCAGACAATTTGCATGTGAAATTGGGAGTGTAAAGCCTGGGGTGTGATAGGCAGAAAGTAACATGGCGACTACAATCAAAGGGTTTGGGATAAATAATGGATTTTTTGGTTCCCTGGTAATTTTGAAAAAAATCAAAAAAAGTTTTGTTTCAGGTTCAAACAAAAACAATATATCTCAAAATGTTTCAGAATCAAAAAGTGAAAAGATTGAGTCAAAACGAAACATTTGTTTCAGGAAAGGAAACGAGGACGAGAGTCACAAAATTGTAGAAGAGGAGCTGGTAGTAGTATTGCCTTTGTTATAAGCTTTAGCTCAGAGGTTAGGGATGTGGGTGAGGCAGCCTCAGTTGCCCTCTATCTAATGACTGTGGATGATGATGAATATGAAAATGACTCTGCAGCCTGGTACCTAGGCAACAGACGTGGGAGACTCTCCACTAACTATTTAATGATATATAAGCAGCGGCATGTCTACCCTCCGGCTACTACGGGGAGTCACGGCCAGGCAGCTCTGAACATTGTCCTGTCTGCAGGCACTGCCCCTGCAGCTCCTATTGGCCACATTTGCTGGCCAATGGGACTGCAGGGGTGGCGCTTGGGGCGGGGGCAGCGTGCAGAGCCCCCTGGCTGCCCCTACGCATAAGAGCTGGAGGGGGGACATGCTGCTGCTTCTGCGAGTTGCACGGAGCCACGGCACACATGGAGCGGGGCAAACCCCAAATCCTGCTACATGGCAGGAACTCGAGGGCTGGATTAAAACATCTGAAGGGCCGGATGTGGCCTCTGGGCCATAGTTTGCTCACCCCTGGCTTAGCTAGTCGGTCACCAGCCTATAGCAGTACATGGGATTCTTCCATCCTAAGTGCAGGACTCTGCACTTGTCCTTGTTGACCCTCATCAGATTTCTTTTGGCCCAATCCTCCAATTTATCTAGGTTACTCTGGACCCTATCCCTACTCTCCAGCATATCTACCTCTCCCCCCAGCTTAGTGTCATCTGCAAACTTGCTGAGGGTGCAATCCATCCCATCATCCAGATAATTAATGAATATGGTGAACAAAACCGGCCCCAGGACCGACCCCTGCGGCACTCCGTTTGATACCGGCTGCCAACTAGATATGGAGCCGTTGATCACTACCCGTTGAGCCTGACAATCTAGCCAGTTTTCTATCCACCTATAGTCCAGGGTCCGTATTCTGCTGCTCTCTTTTCTTCCTTTTGTCAGAATCCTGAACTCAACCATCTCATGGTCACTGCTGCCCAGGTTGCCACCCACTTCTACTTCCCCTACCAATTCTTCCCCGTTTGTGAGCAGCAGGTCTAAAGGACTACAGTCTCTAGTTGGTTCCTCCAGCACCTGCATCAGGAAGTTGTCCCCAGCATTCAACTTAAATAAATGTTTGGGGTCAAAATGATCCATTTCCTTTTGACATTACTGAGACATTTCAACTTTTTCAATTTGGTTGAAACAATTTTTCAAATTTGACATAAATTTGCAGATAGTTCAGTTAATCCCAAACCACATTTTTCAGTGCATTTGTCCAAAAAATTTCACCCAGCTCTAGTCACGACACTGGACCAGGTCTATCTTATGTCTATAAGAACATAAGAATCACCAGATTTTATCAGAGCAAGGGGTCGATCTAATCCAATATTCTGTCTCTGATGGTGTGACTCATACCAGATGTCTCAAAGGAAGGGTGAAGAAACCCCACAGTTAACAATTTTAGAATAACTTGTCCCTTGGGAAGTTTAATTGAATGCCCCCTGGTTCTGCATTATGCATCTTCTTTATCATTCCTTTGTTGTGTACCTTTATCATGTCCCTTGTTATTCTTGTCACTGATTCACTAAATACAAACCATCTGCTTGACAGGTTTCAGAGTGGTAGCCGTGTAAGTGGGTTCTAGCCCACGAAAGCTTATGCCCAAATAAATTTGTTAGTCTCTAAGGTGCCACAAGGACTCCTCATTGTATCTGCTTGACAGTTAGCCCAGCAAACAGGTTGTTTGCAAAGAACTGAAAATGGTCTTTTTCCCACTGGGGAATCAACTTCAAAGGGAGAAGGAAGGGCACAGTCTGGATATTTGAGTAATGCGAAGCTTTTTCAACATATGACACCTGGTTGAGGGCAGGGGATGAAGCACTTCAACTAATATATAAAATAAAAATGCTGCTATAGAGACCGCAGTGTCCTCTTATTACTTCCCTCTGCTGGCATTACAAGACACAAAGCTTGCCTCTCTAAACAAACCTATAGAAAATGAGTAGACAGATGGAAGAAGAATGTATTTGTCCACATTAGCCACAAAACCAAACTTCTACAGTTCAGTTAATTTTAGCTGAGTGTGCACAAGTCCATACACATAGTAGAAGGGCTGTCTACTCCAATGTCCCCGCCCCCATACTCCTTTATGTGCATGCATAACTTGTGGCACCAGGAATTACACCGAGACATTGATGAGGGACTGGGCCTATCCTTGTGTAATGGGACTGTTATTCAATTACATGGTAGCATTTACAGTGAGGACTTTTGCCTTTCCCTGATGTGAAGGAGAGCACAAGTATCTTACAGTAAAGAGACAGTCACCCTTCCCTCAGCCCTTTACCAAGACTACTGTACTTTCTGATCTGCTGAATACGATAACTGCAGAAAAGGCCATTTTGATTACTGTGTGAGCAGCAGCATCATGATCCTGCTATTGTTGCTTTATAATGCATCATTGATAGAAATTCGTGAGTGCAACAAAGAGATACTCTACTTGGGTTAAGTTTTGCCATTTTGCTGACAGACTCAACTTCATTGCCATCCATGCAAGTAAAAATGTAGCTGTATACTGTATTAAGGGCTCCATCCTGGAGACCCCAATCAGGCATAACTTCTAGTTAAGTCCTATTTGAAGTTAATGGGAGCTCTGCTCAAGTTAGGACTTCAGGTCTAACTTCATAGTAAAGAATAGTGCTGATTGCACTGCCCCTCCCTCCTTTGAACATAAACATTTCTTGATGTTTATTTACAAATAATTGCATTTTCCTATAAAGCCAAAGGCTAAATGGTGGTTTATATTAGGACAGGCTCCCCTTTCACTCAGAAGAGAAGGGCATTGGTGATTCTTAGGTTTCTTAGGTTTCAGAGTAACAGCCGTGTTAGTCTGTATCCGCAAAAAGAAGAACAGGAGTACTTGTGGCACCTTAGAGACTAACAAATTTATTAGAGCATAAGCTTTCGTGGACTACAGCCCACTTCTTCGGAGGTTTCTTAGTATGCTGACTTCCCACTACTGCTTTGTGGGCGGTTCTTTGTGGCTAACTTGCTTAGTGAGGGAAGGGGCTGTTGTGCTTAGCATAAGGGAGGATCTGTGTCTCTTACCATAGCAAAGGTGACCTTGATAGGGGTGAGATTTGGTGCAAGGAAAATTTCTTGTCAGAATTTCTCTCCTTTCGGAGAGAGGAAAGGTCAGGGCAAAAACTGAGGAAGGTTCATGTACCTGATCTGCTGTAAGTAGAGGCTCCTCGTTAATACCAGAGTCATTTTCACTCTTCTCATTGAGCTCTTCCTCCTCCTTCTCGTGGATCTGAAGAAAAAACCCAAACCAAATTCTGATTGGTCAGCAGCAGGTATATTCCCACTTGGGTCTTCAGTCTAGCATTGATTTTACTGCATGAATTACTACTCTCCCTCTAGATATCTGAGAAGCATCTGAAAATGAGGTTCACTGCTTCTTCAAAATCCAAGCATACTTCACCACTGAGATACAAAAGAAGGCCATCATGCAGCATGCTTTGATATGTCAGACCATCTCTTACCTAGGAATGTGGGAGAAGAATGTTGTAGAAGAGGGAATAACAGAACGAGCCAACAGAAAAAGTCTAAGGTGTGTCTGTGTAATCCCAATCAGCTTTAGTGCTGGTGATGTGCTAGATCTATTAGATTCCTGTTAGATTCTTCTCACATCATGAGTTTTAAAATCATTCTCCCACTTCGTCATTTCAAACACCCTTACCAACATTTTCGAAGAAATTGATCTCAAAGACCACAAAATGTCCCTGTCTGGTAAATGGCAAAACTTACTGATCCATGCATGTTTAGGCACAGAAAGGATTTTTGCTACCTGGTTTATAAGATCAGTCCTGCAAGCTGCTGAGCGTTCTGGCCCTGATCCAGCAAAGCAATTAAGCACATGCTCAATTTTGAGCACATGAGTAGCCCTACTGAAGTCCTTCTATCCTGAAACAAGCCTTTTTCAGCCTGTAGCAGATTGGAACCTGCTTGCCAGAAGAGGATGAAATTAGGGCCAGAGGTCCTTCTTGATACATTGATAGAAAGGAAACAGTCACCACTATTCTCTTCGTGCTAAAAGAAAGTGTATTAATTATTACTGTGTTAGTATTGTAGCACTCAGAGGGTACGTCAAAACTGCAAAAAGCCCTGCGGCAGCAAATCTCAGAGCCCAGGTCAACCGACTCAGGTTCACGAAGCTTGTGCTACAGGGCTGAAATAGCAATTCCTACTCAGGCAGAGTCCTGGCTCTGAGACCCAGTGATGATACTGCTGGCCAAGTCAATCCAGGACGTTTCTTCCAAAATAATAAAAGTTCTGGAAGTCCTGGATCTCTCACTGCATCCAGTCCAAATACATTTGTAAGTAAATGCTTTCATTGGAGATATTTCCATGCTCCAGAGCAGGGCAAGCCAAACTGTTGCTGAAGATCCACAAATGGTTTAAATATATCATTCTCAATTACGTGCAACACACTGATAATTCCTCTCACTATCCAATCCCTTCACTCAAGGTTTTACCACCAATTTTAAGGATGGGATTGCTCAATGGGATCATTCACCTCTACATGGAAGAATGCACGGAAGCAGAGCTTTCTAGCCCGGTTTGACCAAGTTTGCTCGCAGCCATGATTATGATAGCTCTGGAGCCAAAAAAAATCTGTAATAATTCAGTTCTACAGTGCCTGAAAGGGAGAGAGAGTATACCAATTCTTGTTCAATCTGACCCCAAGATGGAGGTCTAACAGTCATATGGATGGCGGGTGGAGCCCCCCTTAGGGGAAGCTAGCCCCCAGCTCAACCCCTTCTGCCCACCCCACCCCCACAGCCAGAGCCCTGAGACCCCCTGCTGCTCCACCGTGGCCACAAGTCTCCCCCCTTCAGCCAGAGATCAGTCTTGACAAAACCCTGGCTGGGATGACTTAGTGGAGGATTGGTCCTGCTTTGAGCAGGAGGTTGGAATAGATGATCCTCCTGTGGTCCTTTCCAACCCTGATATTCTATGATTTTATGATTCCAGATGATGTCGTGTTATCTGGGGGAGGGAACTGCAGTTATTAGGAAGAGACAGGTATTAGTAGTGGTAATTTGATCATTAGAAACATAGATAGCTGGATTTGCAATGACCGGGAGAACCACATGGTGACTTGCCTGCCTGGTGTAAAGGTTGCGGATCTAGATGTGGAGACATCTAGATAGACTTATGTGTAGTGCTGGGGAGGAGCCGGTGGTCATGGTACATGTAGGTACCAATGACATAGGGAAGGATAGGAGAGAGGTCCTGGAGGTCAAATATAGACTGCTAGGCAAGAGATTGAAGTCCAGGACTTCCATGGTAGCATTCTCTGGTAGCATCCATGTGCAGGGCCAGTTAGGCAGGCAGAACTGCAGGGTCTCAATGCACAGATGAGACAACGGTGTAGGGAGGAGGGGATTAGATTTATTAGGAACTGGGGAAACTTTTGGGAAAGGGGGAGCCTATACAGGAAGGATGGGCTCCATCTAAACCAAAATGGAACCAGATTGCTGGCACTTAAAATTAAAAAGGTCGTTGAACAGTTTTTAAACTAAGGGCTGGGGAAAGCCGACAGGTGCGGAGGAGCACATGGTTCGGACAGAGACATCCCTTAGGGAATGATTTATTAATGGAGACTCTATATGTCCTAGTAAGGAGGAGAGAATGGAAGATAATAAAATATGGGTACAAGTATCAGAGGGGAAGCCGTGTTAAGCTGAATCTGTAAAAAGCAACAGAGGGTCCTGTGGCACCTTTAAGACTAACAGAAGTATTGGGAGCATAAGCTTTCGTGGGTAAGAACCTCACTTCTTCAGATGCAATATGTCTTGCATCTGAAGAAGTGAGGTTCGGTTCTTACCCACGAAAGCTTATGCTCCCAATACTTCTGTTAGTCTTAAAGGTGCCACAAGACCCTCTGTTGCTTTTTACAAAATATGGGTAGTATCTGATGAGAAACAGTCAAATGAAAAAGCAGCAAAGAGTCCTGTGGCACCTTATAGACTAACAGACATATAGGAGCACGAGCTTTCGTGGGTGAATACCCACTTCTTCGGATGCATCCGAAGAAGTGGGTATTCACCCACGAAAGCACCTTATAGACTAACAGACGTATAGGAGCACGAGCTTTTCGTGGGTGAATACCCACTTCTTCGGATGCATCCGAAGAAGTGGGTATTCACCCACGAAAGC